CTAAATTCTCAACGTCGGCGCTGCTCGCAGGGGTTAAGGCGGGGAGCGCGAGTGCTTGGGGCCTCTCCAGGGCCCCAGAGGCTGGCCGAAATCGGCGCGTTCCCCAGAACGCCGACCGCAGCACTTCCATTCGAGTTAAATCGCCCGACGTTTCTGCGGGTGCCCACGTGCGGATTTTTGCATGCACGCGACGAATGCGGAAATTATGCACCGCGCGCGTGTCCGAAGTTATGAAGGACTGACTTCTTACAGGTTGACCTGCACAAGCAGCAATATACACCGAATAATGTACACACTGCTTGCTGCTCGACACATCTCGCAACGGCCGCCGGACGACGCACGAGCCAGAGGCAGGAGAGACCTCGGTTGGGAAAAGAGGTGCTGCCCGTGGGCAGAAACCTCGCGTCAGCTGTCAGGGGAAAAGCGTTCTGAGCAAGTCCGCCATCGCGGTGCTCATTCAGTGCCTCTCACTGCACGGAAGGTGCCTCGCCAGCCGCGCCCACGAGGGCAGCGGCGGCCCCGCTCTGGGCGAACACTTCGGCCGACTTCTGGCACCTCGTGGCGAGCCGTCGTTGGGCTAGGAGCCTCCCCCCCATTGCGTCCCAGCTCCTTCCGCTCCCCATCTCCTCGCCCACCTCCAGGGAGGGTGAAGAAGAGGAGGCGGAGGAGGCGGCGGGGCCGAGAAAGGCGAACAAAAACGTCCGTGCTGCTATTGTTCCATTACGTTGGACCTCTGGGATCACCGACGAATTGGGCCAGCGGAGGCGCTGGCGGCGGCGGCGGCGGCGGCGGCGGAGGCGGCGGCGGCGCGGTCCTGAGAGGAGGACCCGGAGTTCGAGCGCCCTCGGGAGCGCGAGCGCGAGCGTGCCCGGGCGCGGCGCCCCGCGCGGGTCGCCGCGCGGGAGTCGGACCCCGAGGCGCCTGCCGGGGGGGGGGGGGGGGGCGGAGGAGGGGAGGGGGGGGATGGCGGGGGAGGAGGGGAGGAACTGGGAGGAGGAGGAGGAGGGGGGAGGAGGAGGAGGAGGAACTGGGAAGAGGAGGAGGAGCTGGAGGAAGGAGGAGGAGGAAGGAGGAGGGGAGGAGGAGGAGAAGAACTGGGAAGAGGGTGGAGAGAGGAGGAAGAAGAGGAGGAGGAGGAGGAGGAGGGAGGAGGAGGAGGAGGAGAGGAGGAGGAGGAGGGAGGAGAGGAGGAGGAGGAGGAGGAGGAGAGGAGGAGGAGGAGGAGGAAAGGGGGGGAGCAGGAGAAGGGGGCAAGGAGGGGACAGGACGAGGAGGCGGAGAACAAGGAGGAGAAGGATCTCAGACATCGCTCTGCAACATGACTCCGCCTTCTCGGGGGATATTGACACTGCGCTCATGAAATCCCAGGCCCAGGGGAATGTTCTCTAATCCAAGCTTCGCAAGATTTTCGGAGTGCACCCGTTGCGGTTCACTCATGACCTTGAGCTGAGCGTTTCGCATGCGCACCGTCCTTCTGATTGGGCGTACTTGTTTCGGTCCTTGAGTCTTGCGCGCTGCACGCGCGCGTGTGTGTGTGTGTGAGTGTGTGTGTGTGTGTGTGTGTGTGTGTCTGTGTCTGTGTCCGTGTCTGTGTCTGTGTCTGTGTCTGCGTCTGCGTCTGTGTCTGTGTCTGTGTCTGTTTCTGTGTCTGTGTATGCGTGTGGGCTCTGCACGCGTGCCTGAAGGCGGTCGGCCGCCCTTCCCCTGTGGGACATCGATGCCGTTACGGTCGGGAACTTTCGCTTACCGTGTCGCGGCGGCGGCCCCAGCGACACGCTGCAGTCCACCCGTATGGTAAGGACGCACCATAAGGATGCAAGGGCCTTGGAAGGCCATGCCGACGCTTTGCGAGCGGGGCGCGGCCAGCGACAGCGGCCAAGTATGCGCCGAAGGGGAAGAATGCAAGGGTGACCTTGGAAAAGTGCTCGTCCCTACTATGCGGCTTGACTGTCTGCCCTGCACGTGGATAGCAGGTCGCTCCGCTCCGCGGGTTGGGAGGCTCGGAAAAGCTCGGGACGTTGACGCTTGGGGATGGGGACGTGGATACCAGCGCGTCGCGCCGAAGCGTGGTGGGCCAGAACCCGCGGAGCGACGCGCGAAGCCGAGGCTCCGGACCGCCAGCCTGGGCCCCCCTTGGGCTCCTCTGGCCACCTGTTCTCGCGCGCCGTGCGCGTGTCCTCCTCCTCCTCCTCCTCCTCCTCCTCCTCCTCCTCCTCCTCCTCCAGCTGCCATCTGGGCCTAAGAGATTGTCAGGGCAGCCACAGGACCTCACACAGCTATTACACTGTATGTGGCGACACACATAGCTGGGCGGAGGCCCGCATGGCGACGGCATGGACGGCCTCCTTCGCTCTGTTGCTTTTCAATCCGCTGACGGCGCCGCCCGACCGACAACGAGAGATTTACGAGGAGGCCCGCAACTTCGACGTGATCATCCTTACAGGTACCCAGAGACTCCGACGAGAAGCACACCCCGAACAACGCAGATATAACGACACACGGGTGATCGACGCTGGATGGCAGCCAGGCGCCCTCACCAACCGCAGCACGGGCATTATCATCGCTGTACAGGGCAAACTACGAGGGGCACAGATACTCGGAATTCATGAACCGCCAAGCGAACTTCGCGGCAGAGGACTTGCATTACACCTGCGACATCACGATACAGACCTGTTCCTCATTGGCTACTACTGCCCACCGCAGCCCAAGAAGACCGTGGAGCGCAAGCAGTACTACGCGACGGTGGCCAGACTGTTCAAGTGGATGGACGAAATGGCCAAAACCAGACCGAGAAGCAGCATCCTCCTCACGGCGGGCGACCTCAACGACGGAGTCGGCATCACCCCGCAGAACGAGCACCCGATCTCAGATGCCCTGGGACCTGGGCGCGCGCGTGAACGATTACCAGGAGGCGCAGGACAGAAAGCCAGACAATATGCGGAACGCCACCTTGACACTGACGAATACTACCAGCAGCTGGAGGCCAACCTACTTCGGAGAGAAGCACGCCAGCTGCATCGACTACATCATGGCGCCCCAGGACCTTATCGGCAGCATGATCAGCCAAGGCCCCCTCCTTCGGATGGGCACACGACTCCAGCACATACCGAGTCGATTTCATCGGGACCACGTTCCAGTTCAAACTACACTACGCATACCGCTACGACACCGAGTACGCCAGACTACGCCGCAGACTCGCTGGGACAAGGGTCTACTGGTACAGGCAGTACACAAAGGACACAATCGAGACGAGTTCATCAAAGATCTGGAGACTAAGGTCGCAAACTACGACGCAGAGGGCAAAGACATCGACCAGCTATTCCAAGACATCAACCGAATGATCATCGACGCGGCCAAGCCATACTACGGACAGACACAACGCAGAGAAGATCCAGAATACGCCGCACTCCGAGACCGACGACTGGCGCTACTACGACGACGCCGAGATTTACGACAAGCACTACGGGACCGCGGGAATATTTTACGCATCGTCGACTCCGAGATTAACTACGACACCCCGCACGAACTTCTTCAAGCCCTACAACCTGACAACCCATACGACGACACAGCGGAACGCCAACATGCAGAATACGAACAATAACTACATGCACTGGAAGTGGAGTTACGACACATCACGAACCATTGCGCCAGACTCCGCAAGCAGGAGCACCAGGTCAGGACGGACGCGAGGGTCGAGGAGCTGTACGAGGCGTGGAAGCAACGAGACCTTGCACGAGTAGGCCGATTATCCAGACTGATCGCAGGGGGACGATACGGCCCAAGAAAACGTGACTACTGGACCAGCGTGACCGCGAACCCGAGCAAGCAGGAGTGGCTCGACGTCTGGAAGCTACCCGGCGGCATGGGAGGCATGGAGGGCACGGAACAGGACATCCACACGCTCGACCAGATCCCTAGCCCCACCGAGCAGCAGGACTACTACGAGAACGACTTAGAGGAGAAGGTCGACGAGGATTTCGAGTACACCACCAAGAGCATCAAGAAAGCGAAGCTACGCCGAGCGGCACCCCCTACTTCGGCACCGTCGGAACTGTGGCGACTCATTCTTTGCCCACCCAACCCAGAACGGCAAGAACGCCAAGGACTCGGGGCACCACGTGCAGATCGACAACCCGACTTGTTCACGGAACTATTTCGAGCATCACTGGCGGCGATCAGAATTGGCAACGCAACTCCAGTCCGATGGCACCAGAGCGCAGCCACCGCCGTTGAGAAGAACCAAAAGCCTGGCCCCGCGGGCAAGAGAATCTACCACATCATGGACCCCATCGACAAGGCGTACTACTCGGGCTGCCTGAAGAGAAAAAAAACTAGAACGCATACGGATCAGGACTACGGATTTATCAGAGGACGAAGACGAGAAGGAGCAATTCTCACGATGGCTATTGTGGAATATCGAGCCAGACAAGCAGGCTGGAACTTCGCTTCCTCGATGAAGGACATGTCCAACGCTTTCGCGAGCTGCTCGTGGCACGAGATGGATGAAGTCAACCGCAAGATCATGCCAGACGACATGGAAGAGATAGGCAAACAAAGATATCAGAGAGCGACGTTCAACATACCATGCCGAGACGAACAACACGGAGTCGGTATCAAACCGCACTGCGGAGGCTTAATCGGCGACCCCTACATGGTGCAGAACTTCGTCGCCAGCTTTGCGCCTAGTGTACAACAATGGGTACGAGATTGCAAGGCTCAACTCCCACATGATCATCTTCTGTATGGGAACAGCGAGCGTTTCCAGTATCCAGTATACCTCGGCCTCACGAAGTACGCAGATGACTTACGCAAGCTTATCATTACTCAGCGGGCAGACGCGCACGACATCGTGAATCAGGCCCACCAGGTGGACAACATGCTGAACACCAGGCTCACAGAGATCGGGATGCGGCAGAACCAGGACAAGCAGGAGACCATCATCAACTTCCAGGGCCACGGCTCGAAGAAGGCGCACCGTGACATCAAGAACAACACAGGCGCCAAGATGCCAGGTAAAGTACTTCCACACGCCCGTTATCTCGGACCGCAAGTCAGCCCTCACCAGAACTACGGAGCGGAACTCATCAAGCGCATCGCAGCCATGAAGAAGAGCTATTACGAGTGCGGAGCGTTCTGGAGCAAGGCCAACATCCCATACCGTTGGAAGCGAGCAGTACTACTTTGCCGAGTGATCAACACAGGCCTCTCGTGCATCGAGTGCTTCCTCCCGACCACGACAGAGTACAGACAACTCCAGAGTGCGATGGGAGCACTACTACGCAAGGCCATGCGAGGCAGAGCCACGACGTACCGCGAGGACGGCACCGTGCGGAGCATGAGCACCTTGGAGGTCTTCCGCCATTGGCAAATATTGCCGCCGGCAGAAGAGGCACTGATACGACGAGTCAGCTGGCTAAAAACTATTCTGCGCTTCCCTGCTAACAACAAACAGCTGATCGTTGCGCTCTTCGGCCGAGTCGACTACGAGACGAACACCGAAACGACCACCGACGCGATCCAGAGCGACACGAATCCATGGGCTCAGAGGTTTCTGGAGGACATTAAGTATGCCTGCGAGGTCTCAGAGAATTTCCAGGACATCTTAGGGCGGAGCGAGGACATAACGATAGGCAAGCTCTTCACGCTAGATATCCGAGAACAACTTTGGAGCCTGGACCCCAAGGATATACGAGCAGCCAAACTAGCAGTAGCGGTACCCCCAGTACAGCAAGATCACGACGACGAACAACGAGAGAACATAGCCTTAGACGAGAAAAATATTTGGAAATGCGAACTTCTTGACGAACGAGACGTATGTGGAATGTTATTTGCAAGCAAGAAAGCGTTACACAGCCATATCATACGAGCACACCATGTTCATAACTTAGCGGCAATTCTTACCAGCAACAACGAGTGCATCAATTGTGGGCAGGTATTCACCAGCAAAGGAACGGCCTGGAAACACCTAGCACGAAGTATGATTCGAGGGGGCTGCAGCCGAGACACGACGAAGAACCAGTACGAAGCGGCCCCACACGAACCTCAATGTCCGATCTGTAGTCATTTTGCCTTAGATAAGCATAGCTGCTACCGCCACCTTTGCACACACCTTCCTCGACAACTACTTCAGCCAGCAAAGGATGTCTCTTTTCGACCAGAGGCCGAATGGCGGACAGCCGCTACGCGCACAGGGAGCTCGCCCAGACCGCAGCCGTGGACGCGGAGGGGCGGGACAACAGCGCGGCCCAGCGGGACCAGCAGCGGGCCAGCAGCAGCAGATGGTCGACCTGACGGCGAGGCTCGTGCTCACCCTGGCACGGGAACAAGCAGAACTGGCCTCCGCAGTACTTCAGACGTGGGAGATCGGAACGGAAGCCAATATCGCTACATCGGGACTCGAAGCAGGGCGCGCCTACAACGAGGAGGCTCAGGACCTGAACCAGCGCGCCAAGGCCGGCGAGGCAGTCGACACGGCGCAGCTTGGAAGCCCGCACCTGAAGGTCTGGACGGAGGTCTGCGCCTACCTGGGCAAGACGCTCGAGGAAGGGGCTTCCAAGCAGCACGTCGAGCAGTACTACCGTGACAAAGTACTCAACGCCGCTCCAGAAGTGCTCGGAGATTCAGTACCAGTATTTCGCGTTCGGCGCAACAAAGGCAAGGATGGCAACGGGAAAGACAAGTGCAGGTTCCAGTTCACTTTCAACGCGAACGATCACCAGATTGCGACAGTGCTAGTCAACCAGCTCAAGAAGGAGGGAGCCACGCGCCGCGTGGGCTCGGCGCCGCGCGGGGCGCTGGAGCGGGAACTCGGGCGCCTGGTCAACGGCTGACCGCCGAACGACACGCAGAGGACGCCAGAGAAGAGCATGCCGTAGGCTTACGCCAAATCCAGAGTGAGGGAACGCCCCGCGCCGTGCCCAGAGCTTTCGAAAATAGTGTACGATTCCGAGAGCTGGCGGCCAGAGGCAGACTCCCAACCCCTCCTCCTCAGAACGCTCCTGAAGTTTTTAGGTTCAGAGGCCATGGTTTTCCTGACTACTATTTGATGCACCGCCCTCCCCCCCCTCCCGAACCCAAAAGGAAAGGTCGGGGTAAAGGGGGGCGAGCCCAGGGTAAAAACCATGGGCAACAGGCGAGGTAGGCTTCCGAGAGGGGCGGGTGCTACCCCGCCCTCCAGCCTCTGCGTGGGGCTTTCGGTGCGGGTTGGGCCCGAGCACGACATCGTGCCAGCTCACCCAGCAAGCGCAGAGAGTACAGCTAGGACGATTTAAAAACAGTTTTTTTAGCTACCGATTCTGAGGAGGTTGCGAACTTCGTCCCCACGGCTCGATCGATCGATCCTCCTCCTCCTCCTCCTCCTCCTCCTCCTCCTCCTCCGTGGCGCTCTGCAGGAGGAGAGGATGCCGCCCGCAGGTGACTCTGCTGCTCGAAGCGAAGCAGGGGCTGCGGGCGGCGGAGGCGGCTGGCCGAGGCCGCGGCGTGGCGCGCGGGAGCGCAGCAGCTCGCCAGGCTTGGCAGCCAAGGTGGCGAGGCTGCTGCGGGCCGCGCGGGGTGAGGCCTAGCCGACAGCCTCGGGTGCGTAGCTGCGCCGAGGCGCGGGCGCGCGTGGGGCGCGCGCCTCGCAGGGGTGGCCGTGGCTCGACGCGGTCCGCCTCACCCCGCGGGCATCATCCTCCGTGGCGCTCGGCCCGCATTCCCCCCCCCCCATGGGGGAACTCCGAGGCCTCCCGCCTGGGTCCCTGTGGGTCCCCGCGATCGGTCAGTCAGTCAGTCCGTCAGTCTGTCAGTCTGTCTGTCTCCTCCTCCCCTTCTCGCGCCTCCTCTTCTTCTTCTTCCTCCTCCTCCTCCTCCTCCTCCTCCTCCGCCTCCTCCTCCTCCTCTTCCTCCTCCTCCTGCTCCTGCTCCTCCTCCCCCTCGCTCGTTCTCCGCTGCGTTCGCTCCCCCTCCCCATCAGCCGCCCCTCCTCGCGGGCGCGCCGCGCCCCCCGTGGAGGGCGCCTCTTCTGCGGCCGCCGGCGGCTCTTCTCGAGGCGGCGGCCTTGGCCTTGGGCCCTGCGGCCTTTGGCCCCGCGCCTGGGCGGGGGGCGGCCGCGCAGGAGCAGGAGGAGTGGGGGAGTCGCGCGCGCAGGACCAGCCTGCGCAAAAAAGAACACTAGTTTTCAGGAAAGACGGCGGACTGGTGGGAGGGCGGAAACGAGGACGAGGGTGCTAATGAGAATACCGACGACGACAACGACGACGACGCCAAATCCGACGACGACGAGCACGACGACAACGGCGACATTGATGATGGCGATGAGGCGGAGGACGAGGAGGAGGATCGTAAGAAAAGAGGGGCGACGAGGGGAGGAGGGCCTGAGCCACCCAGAACACGTAAAAAGCCATGAGCGACGAACCGAAACCGAGAGCGTTTGTTTCGGGAACGCGAGCGGAACAAAAACAATTGGGCCTTCTTGTTTCGGACAAAACGCTTTTGATGTTCGTTGTCGGTCGTTCTGGAACCGCTGCTGGTTTTTGGGGCGGGCGCGCTTGGTTTTCAGAAGCGACGCGCTTGGTTTACGGGGTGGGCGCGCTTGGTTTTCAGAGCTGACGCGCCTGGCGCCAGGGCCAGGCGCTGCGCGAGCTTTGGCTAGGGCGCGGCAACCTCGCCGCTCCAATGGGCGCACGCCGAGTGCAACGATAAGGGGGCGCGCGCGCGCCTTGATACGGAGACGACGGCGATGGTGTTTGTCTCGAAAATTTGGTCGCGGTGGAATCAGCGTTTCGAAGGCAATTCGGTGCTTCCCAACGTCCGCTGCGGGGGACATGCTAGATCATGCTCGCAACGCTTTTCGCAGGTTGTGGTTCAATGCTCGATTGGTTTGCGCTCGATTGGATTGCGTGCCGTTGTAGGAAATCATTTTGCCGCTGTAGAACTTCACCCCCCTCTCGCGCAATGGCGGAACGGCGCCGCCGCCGGCGCCTCCACCACATCTGTAGACGCCCCCATCCACGCTCCACCTCGAATGTCGCTGACCATGACGGCCCAGTCCGTCTCGCTGCTCTTGTCCCAAGCGCACGGATTCCGAACGGGCGCCAAAGCACTCACGCCCGCGGGCGCCTTCTTCATCAAGGCACCCCGCAGCGCCCTGAGGGGGCAGAATAGCGCCCGAGCGCGCTCCCGCGCCCATTCGATGGCGCCCGCCGCGCCCTCCGGCGCGCAAACCACCGCGCGGGCGTGGCAAACGACATGCAGAAAGCCACAGGCGAGCACGCGCAACGGCATGGGCCAACGCTTCTGGCGCACGAGAGCCCAAGCGCCCGCGTGCACACGGCAGTCAGCGCGCGCCGTGGGGCATCAAATCAGTTCGCCCTGGCGGGGGCGCAACTTCTGCGCATTCGCGTTGAGCCCTCGCCTGCGTGCGTTTTGCCTGCTTCGGCGCCTGCTTAATTGTGGGGGTGGCCCTGTGGATTGGGCCCCATGGGCAAAACCGAGCGTGGTAAATGTGATCCTGTCTGGTCGGGGGGGAGGGGGGGTCTCTGGCCGTGGCCGCGCGGGGCCCTCGCTCTGCCGCGCGTTTAGTTCGCGGTTCCAGCCCCGCGCGCCGCGTTGATTGCGCCCGGCATGCCCGCGCAGAAGAATGCCGCCACCGCGAGAACCTTCGCCCGAACTCACTCGGATGGCGCGAACCTTCCGCGCTGAAGCGGCGCCGCAACGTGCGGGGGGGGAAAATATCGCCGCGCTCGCGCTAGAGAGCGCGCCTGCGTCTGCATCAGTTTTCGACAGGCCTGGCGTGGAAGAGTTGGTCAAATATTACGTGCTTAGAGGCGTGGCGCAAATTATGGCGCCAAATGAAAAACGCCTGGCGCGTCGACTTCTCGTTCAAGCGGAAGCTTTCAGAGCGCGAAGGGGAAGTTGGGATTTCGCCAGTGGACTCGGTTACCCCAGGCCTCCTTACTAACAATGACCCTACGACGTGCTTCATCGAACATATGTCGGGCGCAGCCTCAGAATTCGAAACGGCAGCTGCAGTCGCAAATATTAAGAAAGGGCGGGGCAGGGCGAAGAACGACAGCGAAACGAATGCGTTGACGGGCGCCAAGAAGCGCGAAGGCAGGATAACTTTCTGCGCGCCCATCCGTCCTTCGTTGCAGCGTTGAAGGAAAAGCTCAAGAAACCTGTCACCAAGCTGCGCGCGCACGCGAGCCAGCAACTGTCCATGATTGAGCTCACACCCTGCCGAGCGAGGCATTGCGTCGCAGCCACGCAACAAGAAAGCGGGAAAGAAGCGCCCGGGGGGGAAGCCCATTGCCCCTTAGCGCCTACAGGAGCGGCTGCAGTATTGCGTGAAAGCGGACCTCTGACGATGTTGTCGCGCATGGCGCGCCACTCCTCGCCGAAGATGTGTCATTGATTTCTTCAGCGTTTTACGGCGGCCCAAAGGTGGCCCTGAAGGTGGACGCGCAACAACCAATGCATGCAATCCGACGCAGGCTGAATGTGCGAAGCTCTTGAAAGCCACGCGGATCATTATAGCAGTGTTCCTAAATCGTTAGAGAGGCCGACCGACTGTTGGTACCTAAGACACCGTTTCCGCCCCCCGCTCTTCTGGCAAAAGCGAAACATCACCCGCCGCCTACGACATGAACCCACCTGCGTCTGCGTTGCGCTCACAAACAAGATTGCGTTCCAAAATAATGTTCGTTAGTAGATAGACACCAACATTTCGATCGCATGTTCTCGTTGTTTGTGCCGAAGACACCGTTGCCGCGCCACGTTTGTTTTTTCTGGAAGACCAGAAATACTACTCGCCCCTTACAACATCAACCCACATGCGATTGCGCTGCGCTCGCAAGCACGGCTTTGTCCAAACAGAGGTTTCGTCCGTAGCTGGACCCCACGGTGCCGATGGTGTGTTTTGCTTGTTGCTCCTCAGACACCATTGCCGCGTACAGCTATTCTGGCAGTAACAAAACACTAACTCGCCCCTCACAACATAAACGGTTTCAACATCTCCAGGGTTATCCTGATGCCATCTTGGACCCGCGCGGAACCATCTTGGAGAGTTCTAGCACTCTCTTGAACCGACGGAAGCGCGAACAAACTACGAATGGCAGCATGGTTTGACATTCAAGAACATCAGCGAGTGTGCCCTCTTCGGGCTTGCCTGGAAGCTTTCGTGAAGCCTTCCGTGGGCACTCTTGAACCTTCTGGGACCGTCTTGGGGCCAGCTTGGGCCTTCATGAGAGTACCTTGTACCATCTGGGATGTCGACGCCTTCGGCAACATGCTTGGATAGTTCGGAAGCCATCCTGAGCATCCGAACTCCTCAGTGGTGGACCTCCGGCGAAAGAACACGAGTGGAAGGGGAGATAACGCGACGCCCAACAAGGTAACCTGCATCCAATTGGTTCCTACCCCCGTGAGGAGCGTTACAGGGCGGTGTTCCGAATTCTGGGGGGGGGGGGGGGGGCAAAAAAAAGGTGTTCCTAAGGAGCGGCTGGTGCCACTGAAACTCACAAGACTGGTGATCGAGGAAAGGGTAAAACCTCATCCATCATCATCCGTCCGTGCACTACCTACGGTTTCCTTCGGTCGGTCAGGTCCTTCGGCCCTACCCTTCCGCAGGGCTCCGTCGGGTTCCATCTGGCACCGTTGCCGCCTGCGCTGCCAGCGTTCCCACCGCCGCCACCGCTGCTATCAAGGAGCGCCATATGTGTGGATCCCCACCCACTGCGGCCGTCCAAAACGGGTCGCGGGCGGGTCGCGGAGCGACGATGGCGACCATCCGCGCAGTGGACACCTCGCCTCAGCCGCGCCACCGCGAACACTGTAAGCTTTTACGCCCCCTCGTTCTGACAGTCGCAGGCGCGGCGCGCGCGCGCAGGTCCGGCGCGCGCGCAAGCCGAAACGACGAGAAGCCCGCGGCCCTGCCACAAACAGGGCGCACTGGAACGCCTCGCTGCTTTTCGCCCTCAGCTGCGCGAAACAACTTGCGCGAACAGTGTTCACGCCAGCGTAAATATGTAAAGCTCGTTTCTGCGATGCGCGCACTTGTCGTTGCACGGCTGGCGCGCGCTGGGCCTGCGCGAGCGGCTGACTGAATCGGAAATTGCGCCATGGAGGCTGCATTCGTAGCTTTGCGTTCCGCTGTCTGCTCTTCGTTTTCACGCTCATCGCTCGGTTTTCGCGCGCGCCGCTCTTGATCTTCATGCTCGTCGCTATAGGTTTTAGGCCAGCGAGCGCTTTCGCGCGCTACCTGCAAGCCGCTCGATTGCAGGGAGAACCAATCGCGCCGCTGTCGGTTTGACCGGCAAGACCAGGAGCGACCGGTTTTCCCAGCGCGACTGTTTTTGGTTCAAGATTGGGCGGCTTGGGGCGGGGATGAGGAGATGGGAGAGGAGGAGGAGGAGGAGGAGGAGGAGGAGGAGGAGGAGGAGGAGGAGGAGGAGGAGGAGGAGGAGGAGGAGGAGGCAGGATGAAGTCGCGAGGATGGAGGATAGGGAATGAAGAGCGGGACCAACACGAGGAGGAGGAGGGCGTCCGCACTTCTTGTGGAATTCGTCGGCCCCCTCGCCCCTCGCCCAAGCGGAGCAGGGCGAGTTGAGACAACGGCAGCTCAAAACCGGTCCCCGGACCCCCCCTGGGGCCCAAGCGCGGTAGCTCTCCGAGCTGCGTCCAGCCGTGGCGACGAGGAGGCCACCCGAAGGCCAACTGCATTCACCGCCGTCTCTGCTCGCCCCCCTCCCCCGGAAGTCCGGCTCTGCCCCTCCCCCGGAAGTCCATATGCAGACACAGCCCCTCCCTGACTCCAGATCCGCCCTACTTTGCGTTGGAAATCCACCTATAAGAGGCCGAAAAAGTAGGGCGGATATTTCTGCACCCAACATAGAACAGGGCGGAAACCCACGGAAGTGGGGCGGAAACAGCAACCGAGAACTAGGGCCGGAAATTGGCATCAGCGGGGCTCGAAAAGGAAGGCGGAAGTTCCAAGCCCTACTTACGAATTTCGCCAAAGAAGGGCGGATCCGGAGTCAGGGCTCCCCCGGGAAGTCCGGCTCTGCCCACTCGGGCGCCCCGCGCTCCTGGCCGCGTCCACGGGCGCGCCCCCCGGGCTCCGCCCGTGGACGCGCCCCCTGGCGCGTCCCCTGCAGGGGGCGTCCACCGAAGCGCCTCTGGGCACGTCCACGGACGCCGCTTTGCCTGGCGTGCTCCGCAGTGCCTCCCCCCGACGCGCCCCCCAAAGACGCCCCGCGGCACGCTGCCGGACGAGTCCCAGGCGCGACCACCGACACGGCCTCTCGACGCGCCCTTGACACGTCAAAGCCGCTGCCGCTGCGCGGCGCCGCACTGCACGGTTGTGATGCACACGGGCAGAGCACCCTGCTAGTGGATACCGGAGCGCATGGCATCAGGGAAGAGCACCGAACACGTGGGTCTTACAACGATCCGCCCAGGTGCTTGTACGCCATGGAGTGTGTCAAGTCCTTGTGGTATGTGCTCCCCTTGGTCTCTACTTATATTCTTCGCTGCTATGTGCTGCCACTTCTGTATATGATATACGCTTGTTGTGTGTGTGTGTGTGTGTGAATGTGTGTGTGTGTGTGTGTGTGTGTGTGTTTGTTTTCCGCTCGCTCTCTCTCCCTCTCTCCATCTCTCTCTTTCTCTCTCTCTCTCTCTCTCGACAAGCATACACACGGGAGTAGATCCGGAATTTCTTTGTTTTCACCCGTACGAACAAGACAGGAGAAGGAGAAGGAGGAGGGGGAGAAGAAACATAATAATAATAATACGAATAATAACAACTAGAAGAAACATAATCAGAAAAAGAGGAGAGGGAGGAGGAAGAGGAAAAGGGAAACGAGGAGGGAGGGACGGAGGGGTGGAGTAGCAGCTGCAGTGGCAGCAATCGGGGGGGGGGGGGGGGGCGGAGGCCTCCGCCCGCCGCTTTCCTGTCGGCCGCCCCGTTGGCGCTGGAGTCCGACGGCGCGGACGGCGCCCTGGAGGGCGCGACGGGCGCCGTGGCCTGCGGCGCGACGCGCAGCGAGGGAGGGGGGGGCAGCCGAGGAGGGGGGGAGGAGGAGGGGGGGGGAAGAGGAAGAGGAGGCGGGGAGGGGAGGAGAGGAGGAGCTGCGAGGTGCGAGCTGTCCCGCGTGGTGGTCGGGGAGGAGGAGGAAGAGGAGGAGGAGGAGGAGGAAGAGGAGGAGGAGGAGAAGGAAGAGAAGGAGGAGGAGGAGGAGGAGAAGGAGGAGGAGAATGAGGAGGAGAAGGAGGAGGAGGAGTAGGAGGAGGAGGACGAGGAGGGAGGAGGTTCATGATTTTGGAGCGTGTTCGTAAATGCTCGGTTGCTTTCTAGCGTCGGGGCGCGTTTCAGAAACTGCCTCGGCGTTCTGGGGGGTGCCCAGGTCGTGGCGAATGGTCGCCGGAGACCCGAGCTCTGGCCCGAAAGGTGAATGATCCAAGGGGGGGAAGAAGGGCGAGGAGGAGGAGGAGGAGGAGGAGGAGGAGGAGGAGGAGGAGGAAGAGGACGAGGAGGACCAGAGTAAGCCAAAGATGCGCCAAGGATCCTGCGGTTTTCAGCTTTCGGGTCAAAACTCGGATTTCCGGCGGCCGTTCGGAACGATCTGGGCACCCCCGGACGCCTTTCGGTGAGGCGCTGCTGGAAGCCACCCCGAGGCTGGAAAGCCGCCGAGAACCGACGAAAACGTTCCAAAACCTCGAGTCTCGAGGCTTTAGCCTCGAACCCGGCCCACGCGGGGAGACGGCCGAGGGCGCAGACGCTGGCACGCTGCCTGCCGGCCCACGGCGCCCTCGCCTTCCGTGGCCTCTCGGGGTGCTTTCCGGCCAGAATTCCGAAGCGAACGCAGCCGTGACGGCGAAGAGCCTCCAGAACGAGCGGCGGCATCCGCGCCCTTTCCTCTGCGTGCCTGGGCGGGGGGGGCGAGGGCGCGATTGCCAGCGCGCGGCCTGCTGGCCCACAGCGCCCTCGCCCTCCGCGGCCTCGACCGTGATTCCCGCCGCCTGCGGGCCGCGGCCGGGCCGGCGGCGCGGCGCTGCGCGGGCGGAGCTGCGCGTGCCGCGCCTCTGCCCGCCTGCCGCTGCCCTGCCGCCGCCCTGCCCGCTGGCCGAGCACGCGCGCGCCCGGCGCACACAGGGGGAGGAAGAGGAGGAGGAGGAGGAGGAGGAGGAGGAGGAGGAGGAGGAGGAGGAGGAGGAGGAGGAGGAGGAGCAGGAGGAGAGGAGGGGCAGGAGGAGGAGAGGAGGAGGAGGAGGAGGAGGAGGAGGAGGAGGAGGAGAGGAGGAGGAGGAGGCAGGAGGAGGAGGAGGAGGAGGAGGCAGGAGGAGGAGGAGGAGGAAAAGGAGGAGGAAGAGGAGGAGGAGGAGGAGTAGGAGGAGGAGGAAGAAGAGGAGGAGGAAGAGGAGGAGGAGGAGGAGGAGGAGGAAGAGGAGCGCTATGCGTTATGGCGTGAACGCGGCTCCCAGGTGCTAGCCTGGCCGCCTGCTGCCGCATCACCGCGGGAAAGCCATCCCGACTTTGGCGGACCCCCCTTTCAGTTTGGCAGAATAACGCCCTACACCTTCATGGACGGGTAGAAGACAATGGCGAAGAAAACAATGAATAAGCACACCCGGCACGGTGCAATTCCGCACTGGCGAAATAATAATGCCCCTTTCCAGCAATATCCCCATGGAATGTGGGGAGCTGCGGGCCCGTTCAACCACCAGTCAGAGCAATACATTGTTTAAAGCACACATCGAAAACCCACAATGCCGAAATGCTGCGCCAAAGCCTGCTTGCCGTGACCGCCACACCGAACATAATGAAGCCGCGTACTCCAAGACGCGATAAGTATGCCACACCCACAAGATATGGTCCACGAGCACAAGCCATGGCAAGACATGATGAATATCTTCGCCACCGCGAACAGACAAAAGCAAAGAAAACAATGATGAAAACACCCGGCAGTCGTAGTGACCCGCACTGAAGTAATAATCTGTGCCGCCTCCAGCAACGCTCGCAGCAAAATATGTGGCGAGCTGCGTGTACTTGCAACCACCAGCCAGAGAAGAACAAAATAAGACCCACCACGTGAAATACACTGCCGAACAAGTCCACCAAAGCATCCTTTGAGGGCACACCAGGCCCGTGGGCGAGGGGAATGCGAGCCACCAAGGTTCATCCCTCGAGCCCTAGATAAAAAGGGCGCACATGAACCCCATCCCACCAGAAATGGACTGCACAATGACAAAATGAACGGAGAGCGCCCAGGCCTCCTCGAACACCGTAACAGACCCCATGTCCACAACGATCACCAACACGCCCAGCAGCCGATCCACCAAGAAACCCTGTCTCATGAACACGAGAATACACCAGGAAAGTGACCTGCAGCGGTACCCGAATAGAGGCGAACAAATTCAACCCGGCGCTGCCAGGAGCACCTGGACCTCAAGCGGCAGGGGGCGGCGCACCTCCCCTCATTAAACCCCGGGACGACGGCCCAGCGGTGCTGCGGGGGGCCACTCATGCCACCAGAGCCAAAATGGCTACGGGGAGGATGAGGAGGAGGAGGAGCAGGAGGAGGATGAGGGAGAGGAGGAGGAGGAGCAGGAAGGGGAGGAGGAGGGGGAGGAGGAGGAGGAGGAGGAGGAGGAGGAGGAGGAGGAGGAGGAGGAGGAGGAGGAAGTGGAGGAGGAGGAGGAGGATGAGAAGGAGGAGGAGAAGGAGGAGATCCGTAGCCATTTTGGCTCAAGTCCGTAGCGTTTCGCTCAGGGACCGAGGCCTTTTTGGCGTGGGGGAGGCGCGCCCCTGCCAGTGATCCTGCGATCTCTCTTCTTTTCTTTTCGCTCACAGCCAACTGTCTGGCTACTGTAAGTTCCGCGGCCGTCAGTTCCCATGGGGCGCAATGGCGGCGGCAGGCAGCAGGCGTTCAGTGCGACCTGGACCTGCTGCAACAAGAAGTGCGGCTTCGACAACAATTTCCCATGGCGTACGACGTGCTGGGCTTGTGGCAAGCCCAAAGGAGCGGTCCCTGCACCGGCGGTGCCGCGCCCTCCTGCTGGTGCTTGGGTTCGTCCTCCTCGGCTGCAGCCACAAGGAGGCTCACCTGGTGCTGGGCAAGGGCCTGGCGCAAGCGGCGGCAAGCTCACCCCTGAGCGCAAGGACGCATTGCTTGCCATGTCCGCCGAGCACTTCGAGGCCTGCAGCATCTGGCTGTCGCCTGGTCAGAAGGCGCACTTGCTGGGGCTGCGAGCCGTGCAGACAGGCGACCCGCTGGCCCTCAGTCGACAGGCCAAGCAGCAGCACGACACGCTCAAAGATCAGGTCGCCAAGGCCAAGAACGCCTGGGAGAAGTCTCAGGAGTTGCTGGCCAAGCAGCTGCAGAAGACGGCGGAGCTCAAGGCGAAGTTCATGGAGCTTGAGGCCAAGGAGCTCGAGGCGGCCCGTGCTGCTGCCAGCGCCTTCTCCGAGCTTGGGCGTGCCTCCAGGCCTCAGCCTGCTGACCATGCTGCATACCTTGTGGAGCAGCTGCGTGAGCTGGGGGTCGAGGCGGGCGTGGTCGACTCGATCAAGCAGGTCGCGGAGGCCCGCCAGAAGGCCAAGAAGGATGAGGAGGAAGCGGCGGCTGCTAAAGCTCGTGCTGAGGCGGCAGATCGTCATCATGATGAGCGTGATGCTGGTGGTGCTGCTGCTGACACCAGCGACGCTGCAGGCGATCACGACATCGACATGGATGCAGCCATCGGCAACCTCAAGCAGGGTGACTGGATGGACAAGCTCGTCAGCTCTGCAGGTGAGAGCGGCATCACTCGATCGCAGCTGGAGGCTGCGCTCGATGAGGCTGGTGCTGATTTCAAACGCAAGCGCCTTTAGCCGTGCGGCTAGATGCGCAATGGGGCCAAAGGCCCCGAGGTTTTGGAATATTGTCTCTGCCAATGTTACTGATCGCTCTGGGCTTGACATTTTCCTCTCCTCCCCCTCTGTGCTCCAGGCTCAGCTGGTCGGTGTGCAGGAAACGCGGGTGTTGGAGGTTGAAGCTTGTGAGCATAAACTCAGGCGACAAGGGTGGAGAGCCAAACTTTCGCCAGCCCGTCAGACGGCTGGAGGCGGCATATCTGCTGGCATCATGCTTGCTGTGCCAAAGCATATCGGCCTGGCGCCGATTGAGAGCTTTCCGATCGACGTGCAGGTGGGGAGGATGATGGTTATGCATGTGGGAGGTCTCGTACCTGGGGGTTTCCTAGCGTGCACGCTCTATCTGCATCACTCTGTCGGACTTGCGCCAGCCAACTGGGATCTTCTCTGCAGGCTAGGCGCGCTGCTGAAAATGGCCAACATGCCGTTCCTCATCTTCGGGGACTTTAATCTCGAGCCCGACGTGCTCTAGCATTCAGGCTGGGTTGATGCAATCGACGGTGCTGCCATATACACGGATGCTGGAACTTGTGCTCCAGCACGCACAGGACCATCGATTTTTTCGTTGTCTCCCAGGCGTTTGCGGCGAACGCCTCGGTCTCACTGTTGGCAGAAGTGGAGATCACTCCACATATTCCAGTTAAGTTGAAGTTACCCACCTTGGACACTGTACCCTCGGTGCGCATGGCTATGGTTCCCCGCAGGTTCCCCAGAGAGTTGCCCATTGGTTGCCGTGGAGAGCCCAACTTAGCCAGGTGGGAGGTGGCGTCGGAGATGATGAGCAATGCTAGCATATCTAAGTCGTGGCAAGTTTTCGTCTCGGCTGCCGAGCTCGAATGGTTAGAGGTGTATCAGATTCCCGCTGAGCTTTCGAAACCGTACATTGGGCGTGGTGGTGATGTTCGTACTGGGTGGTGTCGACCGAGCCGGCCTGCTCCAGTTCCTTTTCCACGTCTGAGCCCTCAAGCTGTGTGGTGGAGAGCCTTGGCCCAGGTCCTCAAGACCCTCGCGAGGCCCATCAGCGTTGCCCAGACCAAGCAAGTGCGGTGCAGGATCCGACATCTTCAGAGCTCGCCAGATGTTCCAGATTCGATTCTCGCGGTTTGTTTCCTGGAGGCCCTTGATCGGTTTCGCGTCTTTGATTACGTAGTCATGGACTATTTCGCCGCCGTCGCCAGCGACACTGCCGAGCGCCTGCACAAGCAGGCAACCCAGCTGAAGATAGTCAACTGGGACCGATGGGTTAAAACGCACTCGGTAGGTGGGGCTGCGGCGCTCTTCAAGTATGTGCAGCTGCCTGACCCTTGGCAGCCGTCCACCCTCGACTCCTTCACCCTCCGTCCCAACTCCAGCATGGGGGAAATGGATGAACTTGAAAGGGAGTGGAGCAAGTGGTGGCAGGTGGGGGTCGCGCAGCCCCCCGTGCACTGGCCAGAGGATCTCGGAGAGCGCCCGCCTCCCCCCACGGTCCCAGAGCTCAAGAAAGTGTTGATGTCCTTCCCGCTAGGCACTGGTTGTGGATACGACCAGGTCCCGCCTAGGAGTTTTCTGCACTTGCCCGACGTTGCGCTCGAGCTTCTGTGCGGCCTCATCGGGAAGATTGAGGAGCAGGCGGACTGGCCTCCCCTCACGAACAAGATTGTTTTTATTCTCAAAAGATTGGGAGGAGTTCGACCTTTGGGGCTGTTACACGTTCTCTGTCGGGTGCAGTCCAGGCTGAGAAGGCCTTTGATCAGGCAATGGCAAGTCAAGAACTATCGGAGTTTCTGGTGGGGTACCAAAGGAAAAAGCGCTGACATGTGTGTGTACATTCAGGCAGTGTGGGCGGAGTATTTTCAGTCTAAGGGCCTGTCATCCGCTACGTTGCTTCTCGATTTGAAGAAAGCGTTTGAACTGGTCAAGCATCATCATCTTGTCCAGGCGGCCACTCGCACTGGATTTCCATTGTGGCAACTGCGTTTGCTTGTGCAAGTCTATCGGTCGCCCCGCCTGCTTGATCTCCAAGGGACTGTCAGTAATCACATCACGGCGGAAACTACGATTATCCCTGGGTGTGGGTTTGCTACTGTTTTGCTGCAACTGGTTTTGCTGGGCCCCCTGGATGTTG